ATATAGATAAAGTAAAATTTAAAAGAATTGAATAAATGTTACCACACCAAAAAATCCTTTTTTTCAGTGCATCCTTGCTTTAAAAAGTGAGGTTTTGAATGGAAGAACATGATAGGTGAGATTTATTTGTGTTTTTGACAGAAATGTTCTCCTTCCTCTTCCCCACGGCAGCTCTACTCTCACGACATCGGCGCAGAGGACTGGCGAATCGCCATGACCACCGACCGTGTCGCTCTGATTGCCTTGGAGCTGGCCGTGGCCGCCATCCACCCATACCCGGTGGGGCTGCAGGCCTACTTCCAGAAGACCGCGGCTCGGACGACGCTCTCGGAGACGGAGCTGGAGATCATGCTGGCTCTGCCCATGTTCCTGCGGCTCTACCTGCTGGGCCGGGCCATGATGCTGCACAGCCGCCTCTTCACCGACACCGCCTCCCGCAGCATCGGAGCGCTGAATAAGGTGGGAGGTCAAACCCCCTCCACCCACCACACACACACACACACACACACGGGTTTCTTTAGGAGTCTGATCAACGCACATTTAGGGATGAAAAGAGGGGAAAAGATTCTGCTCTGTCGGTTCTGTCAGGGTGAAGCCTGCTAATTATTGGATCTTTTTATTTGGGATGATTTTAGCTGGCCTTCCTTTACAAACATTTCACCCACATTTGTTTATGTCTTGTGTCTAGGTGGGCCGAGAGGTCTGTAAAAGTGTGACCATTGAGGTGTGACTATCACAGTTTCGCTCTCGTGTCCCCTGCTGGTTAAAAATGTCCCTCACTGGCTGTCCTCTGCGTGCCTGCTTTCTTTTCCACCACTGAATATATGCACCTTGACTAATCCCTTCCCTTATTATTGCTATTTAGAAGTGACAAAATGACCTCTGCTCCACCCTCTTTTGCAATACCAAACCCGCTGTCCATGTATCAAGCCAGATTGCGAACACGTTTTCTTATCCCTTATCTCCTCTGTATTATATAAGGATAATCTGACAGGTGCTATCCTAAATAGTCTGGCTAAGTAGGCCTCTTCTGTCAAAATGATGTCGTAACACATCCCTTTTATTTGCTTTTTAGATCCACTTCAACACACGGTTTGTGGGGAAAACACTGATGACCACCTACCCCGGGACTGTGTTGATGATTTTCAGCGTTTCTCTGTGGATTGTGGCAGCGTGGGGCTTGCACGTGTGCGAAAGGTTTGTGCTTTATGCTTCTTCTTTTTTTTTTAACGTCATCAGGAGTTTTCCGACAGTTTCATACACAAGCTTCAAACAAATGATTGAAGCAAACTCAGAATCCTTCCAGTATTTTGCTTGTTTTGACACAATATTTCACTCCATCACTACATAGTTCCTGCACCAAACTATAATCTCTCTATTCAGATGTCACCAATAACACATATAGTGGAGTAAAACTGGCACAAAAAAAACATATTTCAAATTAACGTTTAGATCAGATAAAGATTTTTAGTCAATCTGAAGTGAAATGTTACACCTTGTGATGATTAAAGGCGTAAGGTAACTTTATTTCTTCAAAAATAATAGTCAAATAATACATTTACCATTATTAAAAAGGATAATTAGATATTTAAAAAGCTTATAATTTGACTAGAACCCTATAAACCTTTATTATTGCACGGTTCTGTTTGTTTTAAAAAATCATTTGATATTCATGTCACACTTAAGAAGTGAATAATAATACTTTAAATGAGATTTGAAACAGCTCCACAGTCTGCACAATACAGTTTTTAATTTTAGTTATTGTTCATGGATTAATAAAACACTGAACATTAGTGGGGTTTAGAAATTAAGGCTTGAGGCTGTAAGAAAGTTTAACTTAAAAGTTCTAGGATTAAAAAAAAGTTTTTTAGCATAAGAACCTTTTTCCATTTATGAAATGTAGTGGTGTCATATCTTTTATTTTTCATTCAGGCCTTAATTATTTTAGCCTTATTAATAAAATTTTAAATTTTAATTAAACCCATGAATTGCAGTAAAATGTCCTGATGAATGATTGTGAACTAAATCCATGAAACAACCCAAGTTTTTCTGCAAAATAATTTGTTAAAGTTTAATGTTTTTTAATAACCAAACAAAAGTCCTTTAATTATTCCAGTAGAGATATTTCTTATTTCTGAAATATTTCTGTTATCTGAAACAGCGAGTTTATCAAAATGTCAGAGTTCAATACAGAAATCAATGCAGAAAAATCCCATCCAGTTACTGGAGACATTTTTTTTATTGTTATATCATCACAAAAACACACAGAGAGCAAAGGTGAACTCACCAAATTATGTATTAAATAAATACACAAGGTCAGTTTTTTTTTTTGTTGTGTGTCTAAATGTTTTCTCTTCAAACTGCAAGGCTTGTTTTTGTGGTTTTAAAAAAAATGGTAAAATGGCCTGATGTATAGTATCAAGCCCCGTCGGACTCCAAAGCTCTTTACACTTATGGTAAATCATTCACCCATTCATACACACATATTCACACACATACACACATTCATACACATTCATACACCCATTCACACACATACACATTCGTACACTGATGGTGATAAGTTAGCCACAGCTGCCCTACGGAAGACTGACAGACTTTTGGTGAAAATAATAAAACGTTTGGGACATTTTCAAATGCTGTGTTAAAAACCTTTGTTTTATGTTTTTACAGGATTAAAACTCCATGTTTCCTGTCAAAAACATCATTTTTTAGCAGGGGTGTCAAACTCATTTTCAGCAAGAGCAACATGAGTGTTAACTCGCTACCCCATTACGTAACACCACCACTCGCTCCCTGTTTAAGATTGGCCTTACATCTTTTCAGATTAGCTTTTCACTGTTAACTCCTATTGTTTGGTCATTGTACTTTAATATATGACTGTTTTGTWCTCTTCACTTCTATGTTTCTTCCGCACAACCCTATTGTTAAATATATCTACATTTGTATATTACTATTGTACAGTGTCCTTATAAATAAAATGCATTATTATTATTATTGTTATTCCATCCATCCATTTTCTGTACACGCTTCTTCCTTTCTCAGGGTTGCGTGGGTCACTGGTGCCCATATCCAGCAGTCACAGTGCGAGGGGCGGGGTACACCCTGGACAGGTCGCAAGTCCATCACAGGGACACACATAGAGACAAACGAGACAAACAACCATTCACTCTCTCACTCACACCTAGGGACAATTTAGAGTTATCAATTAACCTGACAGTCATGTTTTTGGTCTGTGGGAGGAAGCCGGAGTACTCGGAGAGAACCCACGCATGCACGGAGAGAACATGCAAACTCTACCCAGAAAGGTCCCCTGACTGGGATTTGAACCGGTAACCTTCTTGCTGAGTGGAATCAGCTCTACCAACTGAGCCACCGTGCCGCCCATTATTATTATTGTTATTATTATTGTTATTATTATTGTTATTATTATTATGGTGGTGGTCCTCAAAGGGACAGTTTCGTGTTTAACTTCAACTAAGAACATGAATCGTCACGTTTCTCATTGCTACAGCTGAGCACTGCTAACAAACAATAACTGAGCTCTACGTGGTGTTTCCTGCATAGAAACAGTGTTTTACCCCCATCCACTTTTAAACACTGAAAAMTACTACATGCACAACTGACTAAATGTGAAARAAATAATACAGAAATACTATTAAAAATAAAAGTGAGAGASTTTTACTCACTGGTGAGWAGCTGCCATCTTGAATTCTGAACTCTCCCARTTTCAGACAGGGAATTCCCACTGGAGGGGCGTTCCAGTTTAAAGTTACGACTTGTAAGTGAGAAATTCCCACGTCCCAGTACAACTGGGCAACAGTAGCAAAAATGCTGTGAAATGGAGATTGTACACAGCAAATTGTGTTACTTTTGAACCCTGTGCACCGCCACCTAGTGGTGGGATGCTGTCATTAAACATGCATTATGGGAGATGTCTTTTTGGTCAATGTTGACTCTAAAGCAGCATATGCTTATTTTAAGACATTTATACATCTTTGAAAATCTCATGGGCCGCATAAAATGTTGTGCTGGGCCACATTTTGCTCGCGGGCCTCAAGTTTGACACATGATTTATGGAGTACCTTCTGTAAACAACGTTTGAAAGCTAAAACCACAGATGAAAAGAAAAACAACATGGATGTTCTGTGTAAATTTGTCCTGACAGTAATAATGTCAACTGATTGGTTGTGTTTTTGTTCCTGCAGGCATCACAACTACAGAGACCTGAGCAGCAACTACATGGAGGCCCTGTGGATGGTCTCTGTCACCTTCCTGTCCATCGGCTATGGAGACGTGGTCCCTCACACCTACTGCGGTCGCAGCATCTGCCTCCTGACGGGGATAATGGTGAGGGTCCGCTCGGCGACACGACAGACGAAGGGTCTAATTCTTTAACGTCTTCTCTGACCCCAACAGGGAGCCGGCTGCACGGTCCTGGTTGTGGCCGTGGTTGCCAGGAAGCTGGAGCTAACCAGAGCTGAGAAGCACGTCCATAACTTCATGATGGACTCCCACATCTCCAAGAGGGTAAGTATTATTATACCCAACTAAAAACTGTACTTACTATACTGATTTTCACTTAATTGTGGCCTGAAATGATTATTTTTGTTAAATTTCACATCATTTTTGTTGAAAATTGTTTATTTTTGTGAGGTTTAATTCAAAATCTGCTGGACAGGATTTCAGATTTATATATATAT